AGATCCTGCCAAGCAGGGTCAAGAGAGGGTTAATGTATATTACATCATGTTCTAATCATTAAAAAATTAAATAGGCTACTCAATACTAATTATTTTACAAGAACTTTCTTAAGATGCAGAAAGCCTCATCTTACGTTTAATACCAGAAGTACAAGGTAAATCATTCTAATACAATACACATGGTAGATGGAATAGATAGGACATTTAAATATGGATCTTTATAAGTGATAAGCAGCCTACAGATGATAAGAATGAGTCAATTGAGTTGTTTGATAGTAGCCTCGAAATTTTGAACTCACTGTATTTTCTAAATTTAGGTACTTCCAGATAGTATAAAGGCATTTTGAGTTGTTTAGATGTTCAATAGTGGATACATGATCACTCATGACCTTATCCAGTTTCTTCTTTATGTTGTTTCTTCTATTAGTATGTTTGAGCAATATCACAAATATTTATTTAACATGAACAATCACCTGCCGCCTGCTTGTGTCAATCATGCAAATCAGATTACAATGGAACTACAACTCCATCATGCACACCTTTTTATGTCAATTATTATAATATGATGTTTTTTTCACAATATAGAAAAAAGCAGAATTGCCATGAAGATAGACCAGATATATTTGTTTCTTCAATTGGTAATTGAATTGTACATAAACTATCACTGAATTGAGATAAGTGACCACAGATGTAACTAAATATTTAGAAACAAATAATGGTAGCAAAATAGAAACTACGAAAAGTGCAAGGTATCCTGTGTCTTAAACTAGTCTCTGTGCAAGCATGCAAAAGTTTTGGGGACATATTCATTCTTATCTCCATCCCCACAAATTAGACAAGCAGAAAAAAGAATATAAATAATAGTACTCATCTAGACATAAAAGAAGCATATAATTAAATAATATGAATACAAATGCTCAAAGAACAAGCATGTCCATCCCACATACCAAAATTTGTCAAGGAACTTCTCAGTTACAAGTCAAATGCTTCAAATAACTATCCCTCTGAAAATCCACAAAATAGTAGATTTAACAAAGCAATCAAAGGAATTGGTATTAGTGACAAATTGAAACTCATGTTAATGTGAAACCAACAAATACAACTGCAGACCAGTTAAAAACCCAAATACTTATATCAAAACTGAACAGTGATATCAACAAGATGCTCCGTCAATAGATCTTAGATACTTCAAATAACTATTATTTTTATAAAAATATACAACACTTCCAAGTTAATTGGCCAATACTTCTAAATACTTTTGTCACATTTCATCTAACGACTAAGGTATCAGATGTGACAAGGTATAAAAACTCACCCTCAAGCGTTAATTGGCTTAGTGACTAAAGTCCAACACATAGAAGAATGTTCCAAAAAGTAGTCAAATTATGCCGGTGGTCAATGTATCTTAAAACACATAAGCAGTATGCAGGTGAATAACTGATCCCACATGTGGTACAGATAATGTTATAGACATAAGCAGACAATATGGTCAAGTCAAGAGCATTTATAAAGTATCTTTATAGTTTCTAAAAGTTGCTTCAGTGACTAATTATAAATATGCATGTAACATGTGTATGCAACTATGGTAGGAAGGAAACATGAAGTGCATATGAAACCTCATACTCATGCTTAGGCAGACCGCATATGTGGCCACATAAGTATCTACAGTTGTATAAGTAATGGAAAAACACAAACATGAGGACAGGATATGACAGGATATGCAGCCACACTAACCGCACGTGTTTCCTACGTTATTACACCATGTATTGAAGCTGCATAGGCCTTATGGGATGCTTTCATGTGACTGCATACGCAGATGTGTGGTATAGACTGAATTTTAGAACAACAAGTGTAACTTGAACTCAATGAGGAGAAAAAATGACAGATTGGAGACTGAATGGACCTCTCAGTTAGTAAGATGCTAAACTTCGGTCGAAGCCAACTCATGTAAAAGCTCAATGAATGTTGACATCTGAACAGTGCCCCCGATGAGAGTTTGCGTGAAAATTTTGTCATCTTATAAAGCACTTGGAGGTGGCTCATATCTTTAATTGCTACCTGTTCAGCTTGTGTGCATGCAGAGCATATTGTTGTGAAAATTAACTTGTTTCTTGCATAATAAATCAGGGATGCTCATGTGATTATTGATTTTGCCTTATCATCAGGTTGTTTTTCTTGGTAACTTAATCAGTTATTACAATTGGCAGTAGCACAATTATATTTCCTGTCATTTTAGTTCATAAAGCACTTTTATGCTCCATTCCCTACCCCCAAATCAAAGATACAACCTCATCTAAACTTCAATTCCAACCTCCCAAACACAAAAATGTAACACATACATGAATGTGTCCGAGCAACCAAAAGCATTAACCTCAACTTCACACTTAATCGAACCCGTCAATTGGTTGATTCTGCTGAATTAGAGGTAGGAATAAACTGGTTTTTTGTAAAAATAAATGTTCAAATATAAACATGATTTGTTTGAGTTAAAAGAAAAAAACCGTTAAGGAAACTTCGTTTCAAATCAACCCTAGATAGCCCACCAGCAGCTAATTCATTAAATGGGTCGAGCTACATAGAACAAGTCATGAGCTGGTAAAATCCACCTCACAGTTCTTTTTATCAAACAAGAAGAAGAAGAGGCAGCTAAAAAGAAAACGTCATTCTAAATTAACCAGTAATAAAACCAATACTAGATTTGTATTTCCTTCATCAATCTAACTTAACTATGTCCAATTCTATAGCATTTTCCTATTTCATTTTGAGTTCAATAAACTGAAACCGAAGAAATGCTAGCTGTACTTCGTAGTGCGTCAGGTTGCAGAATCCCCTAAGTGCCGTGTTGTCTTGTCCTTAAAAGAATAGAGGCTTCATAGTAAACAAAACTCAGCAATAGAAGTTCAAATTTTTCCGAGTGCCGACAGCGATTCAGTGCTCCCCTGACATTCTTACCACAAAATGAAGCAGATTATACAGATAAAAACCGGACGACGAAGAAACCCGAAGACTGCAAGAAGCTGCGATAACACGAACGCAAACTCAACCAATTTCGAAATTCCAAAGAGAGATGAAACAAGCCAATGCACCTCGTATCAATTCATGCCCGAAGAAGAACAAATTCGGCCGGCCGATTCGTCCAAGAATCCAGATCTTGGGGAAAGGAACCCGCCTCTCAGATCCGCGGACCTGAATCCCGCGGCCCGAAGACCGATCGCGATCCCGAGGGGTGGACTCGAGGAAGGGAGCGCGGAGAGCAGCGAGACCGAGAGTATCGGAGATGCCGAGTCGAGCTGCGATTGGAGAGGCGGCGAAGGAAATATACATTAAGGGCCGCCTGAGGTATTTATAACGGGCGAGAGAGATTTCGATTTCTTGAAATTAAAAGAATAATCCGTCCGCTGCATCCTGCGGCTTCCTCGGGTTGGTATCCCAGCGGGCGTCCGCATATAGGTAGTTCGATGTGTTAACATGTCTACTTTGTTATCGGATCGAGTTAGTGGTTTATCGGGTCCAACGGCGTACCTCGACTGCATGATGATTACAAATAGTTATGCGGACTCGCGCACGACGCGCGGGTCCCACGCGGATGGAGTTGAGCAACCAAGCCGCGGTCGAAACGTGGCAGGTCGACCGACGGCTCTGATTTCGTGAGCTGTGATCGGAGCGTGCGAGCCCGAGAGCGACGGTGGGGATCACGTGCGGGGTGCGCTTTGAGCCAGGGCTTTTGGAAGCAAAGCTATTCGCACCTGCTTAAACCACTCGAAACCATACCCACGTCGATGTCACCGAATGTTGGAGAGGTTGGGCAAGAGATTGACGGAATCGACGCTTGTGATGGTCTGGGTCTCCTCTCGGGTTGTTGTTCGTGGGTGTAAAAGGATCTCGCTTTCTTCCGGGGCTCACAGCCGCCAGCTTTCCGCTCGCTGGCTCCATCTCCTCCACGCGATGCCACCGACGTCGGGACTCCTCCCACCCACTGAAACACCCGCATCGTTGCACCCCACGTGTACGTGGGTCCCGCAGGAGGCCTCTCTTCCACGCATTAAAATCGAAGGTGATTATTCGGGTAGATTTTTCACGAGTAAACGAACAAAGTTGCTCCGTGGTCCTCACGTCCTCGTGCTTCTCGGTGGGATAATTTAATGCTGCCACATTTTTGCAACAGCTTCCGTACCCTTTCAACGCGCCCCTTCCGCGTACCTAATTGGTGGTTCCAAATATTTTCGGGACCCTCACGAGTAACAAGTTCGGCAAAGTGACGTGTGTAATATCTGGTGTGGTCTGACGATCCTTGCAATTATCTTTTGAGAAATAATAATATACAACATGAATAAACAAAGAATGGATCGAAAAGAAAAGGTTACGGTAATAATGCGTTGACAAATGACATTGATTTCACCCTTCGTGATCCTAAAAACACAGTGTTCTATCACAGGTTATATATACAGAATTATCATCATAAATATTCAAGTGGGAAGAGCGGATCCATATAAAACCTCGATTTTAATGCAATATTATGGAGACTCGTGATGGGTGAGATAGAGAGCAGTGGTCGGTGAGGAGTTTCACGTGATACAGGGGAAATGTATAAGAAAGTAGCAACTATGAGATTGAAACAGGGAAGCCCTTGCCGTGATCTTTGAACACCAGTAGAAAACAACTTTTTCCTGCTGAATTTGAGGATATGAAATAGACATCCGATCATTGTTCTAATCGACGAGTGGCGCCGACATGTGAGTCCACCAGCGACCCGCGAGTCACACGGCCTCTGTTTTCTTTTGATTCGTCAGAAGTCAACCGCCCTCTCGGTTCTTACACCACGAAGTCAACGCTACGGTCGGCAGTCCAAATCTTTCTTCTTCTCATGGGATCCATGTGAGATGATGCTGAAGAACTCGATGGAGCGCAAGCAGCTCCATTCCTCCGTCCTTGCAACGTGATCCTGTTTCTGGCTGTATCCTATGTCAGATCACCTTCTCTTTTGACTGCATAACTTGGGTGAATCTACCGTGAAGCTTCTCCTGGAAGTAACTCTGTCCATGGCTCCCGTTCGTTGATGCCCAACCTCGACGTTGACGCGGTCTGTACAGAAACATTCCTTTTACGACGGCCCAGAGACATGGTAGTCGATGGCGACGACCGCCGACTTCCTTTGTTGACATGGAGAAAGCCGGGTTGCTGAATTCAAAACCTCGACTTTGACTGCGCTGGTGATTGGATCTGTGACAGACCTCTCTGCTGTGTGTGGGAATTGGGAATGAACTGTATTTGGATCATTCTATGTTTTGTGTCTTAAGGCGACTGTGATTTGGAAGTATTACGATCTGCAACATCTCCACGGGAGCAATTATTGCCTTCGATCCAAGGAAATGAAAGCGGTTGCTGTTCGTGGGAACACCCGTGAGAATACTTTTCCTTTTTGTTTGGTCTCAGCTTTGACCGTCGCTGGAGGAGATGGATAGCCTGCATGCTGCGTGCAGAGCCTGTGAGTGCACAGGCAGCCGTGGGAATCCAGCCAAACTCATATAGCAATCATGACTCATGCCGCCTTCTTCTCCGATCCCTTCCAAACTTGCCGGGTATTCCAAGGTGTTTGAGGGATTGATGGTGCTTTGGAGACAAAGGAGGCCCCGGATTCAACCGTTCCTCCAAGCAAAAATGAAGGGATCTTTGACCGATCCGTGTGAGATTGATGGCGGAAGTGCAGCCGCCAGTCAAATCTAATCCAATCCCCAAGCTTGACCTTGACTTTTTCCATGTCCCATTCTCATCCCAAGCCCCTTCCCCAAGAAAAGAACCATTGAGAACATGGCAACGTGGAGCAGTACTTGGAGGCCAAGGCAACTAGTTTTAAACCCCTGCAGAAGCCCTGGGAGCAGCCTCAACTTAACGAAGAAGAAGGAAAGAGAGCTTTCGACTCACAGTATGTTGGCGAGGAAAGAGGAGGTGGGATCAAAGAAGGCTCAAGTAGCTCGAGATGCCTCGACGACCATCACCACTGCAACGGGTCATGTAATGGCTGTGTCCGAGTTCATCGCCCAATTCGGTACCCCTCTCTTCCGTCTCTGCCGTGTCTCTTCGATGTTATGCCTTCAGCTGTTGTCTTCTCGCGTGACATGCAAATTAACTGCTGCAGATGAGGCTGCGAGGAAGAGACTAAACCGCATGAACGAGAAGCTGAAGGAGTTGGAGACGCAAATGGAAGCGCTCGAGGCAGAGATGAGCAAAGCAAATGACTCCTCCGACTGGTCTTAGTTCCTCCTTCCATCTACTGCAAACATGATATCTTATCATGGGAACAGAGGGATGAAGCATGCGGAATCACAACATGAGAAAAGACCTCTCTTCTTTGTCTTCATGGGATATGTTTGCAAGAGCTAAAATGGGTGAAGTAGATCAATCATGGTGGTCTTGGATCAGCTAATTCTGCCTATTGTTCTGTCAAATTGCAGTAGAGGGAGCACTTCAATTCTGACAGCAACTTGCTTCTTGAATTCTGAGGCCCAATTTTTGTGTTCTTGTAAGCACAAATCCATCTCTTTCAACCTAATCTAAACTATGATCTCTTTCAACAATTAAGATAAGAAATACGGGAAAAGTGGAAAATATTGTGCGATTACAGTCACATCTTTCAGAACCATGAGAGAGTAGAATATAAAGATCAGAGGCAGAGAGAGCGAGCAGAAGTGAAGGATAAGCATGAAGTCTTTCTACTAGCAATCAGCTTTTCATGACCATTAGCACAAATATTACAGAATTCAACTGAGAAGGAAGATTTAGTTCCTTTGATCGCCCCGATAAGCTATTACTAATGGTTTGAGTTCTTCTTCCAAATAAGGTATTAAAGCTTAGAGGGCATAATGGAATTAGTGCATATGAAAAGCATCTATTAGAATTATTAGCTATATGGGTCCTAATATGAATTTTTTAGATTAAATTGCACCAATATCATCTCACAAAAAGATCCATTCAAACCTCCATGAGAAGAATATGAAAAGGATTAATGTTTCCATGAAATGAATTATTTGGATAATTTTAAATTCTTTAAACCGTGAGGTCAATTTTAGTTTGGCCGTCATTTTGTCACGAACGGTCGTCGCGCACCCGCAACAACTCCGTTCAACGAACCGTTCGTCGCTCACACCTGCATGTACAGCTGCTTGGCAGCATGTTTTCTCTTGGTTTTGGGTCATTTTGCTTGTAAATATGTAAGTTCGAACAAGCTGCAGCGTTGCAAAGTGACCGTTCACCGAACCGAGCAAAACAACCCCAAAACAGCTCCGCTTTCGCGTCCCGCGGGAGGTGAGCGGAGAACTGCCTCCGCTCACCAAAATGTCAGCCATCTCAGACCCCAAGAACCCCCCGAGTGGCACAGGGCTGGATGGGGCTTCGGTTATATACCGGGCGTTGAGATCTCTTTCGCAAGTTCGCACGTGACCTTTACGGGAACTTGTCTTTGCGCTCGGGACCAGGTGAGCGGATGTTTGTGGGCTTGCAGCTGTTCGTTCATCCTTGAAAGCCTTGTTTTTCTCCCTCTCCCTCTTTTCTCTTGTGCACACAAGGTGTTCGACGAATTGCTTGTAAAGCTTCCCTTTTCGCGAGACTTCGGGACTTGTCCGTTGCTCATTCTTTCGAACTAACTTCTTTCTCTTTTACAGGTCCTTCGGGACCTGCGAGAGGTTACAAAGTGGGCTGATCCTTGCGGAGCAAGATCGCAAGGGCGAAGCGTGACTTAGGCAACGCAAGCTAAGTTCGCGTCCTTTGCCACAAGGGTGACTCGCGACTTAGGCAACGCAAACTAAGTTCGCGTCTTTGGCCGCAAGGGTGCCTCACGCCTTAGGCAATTCCAGCTAAGGTCGTGACATTGTGGTATCAGAGCGGGCGAGCTCTTCGATCGAACAACGAACAAACTTCGCAACTTCGCCATGACAAAGCATCATGGCGAATCAAGCAAGACGGGGCAAGCCGGACCCTTGCCCCAAGCAGCCGCAGGTGGGCTACATGTGCACACTCGCTCTCATGCTGTTGGAGCCGCTCAAGAGGATCGCGGCAGCGAACAGGATGAGCGAGAAGTTGGCAACTCTCCGCGAGCGGAGGAAGCGCAATCTGGTGCGCTAACTGGGAAAAGGAGTCATAAGGAGAGACTCACGACGGCGGAAACCCGCCTGGATGTTCTGGAAGCGAGCATGGAGGAACTCTACCATGGCCAACAAAGACTTGTTGGGGTAGAGAGCTCGCAAGAGGAAGCAGATTCTAGGATCGACAAGGTCGAGGCCCTAGTCGACCGACTGTTGGATGACACTAAAGACTCCGTGCAACACTTACAGGATGTTGTGGTGGAACTCACTGGAAAGGTGGCTATACTCATAAGAACACTAAATGCGGGAGGAGGCAACACCCGCGTTGCACCGCCACAAAATTTGAGGGCACCTGAGCCTCATGGATATGGAGGGGCCAGAGATGCCAAAGAGCTCGAGAACTTTCTGTTCGACATGGAGCAATACTTCCGAGATACGAGGCCCAATTCTGAAGATACTAAAGTTTCTATAGCAACAATGTATCTGAACGGAGATGCGAAACTTTGGTGGCGAACTCGTTGGGAAGAGATCCAACAAGGTCGGTGTCGAGTCGACACATGGGAGGACTTGAAGCGGGAGTTGAGAACTCAGTTCCTACCGGAGAACACAGAGTTCGTCGCAAGAAGGAAGTTGAGACAACTCCGCCAAAGCACCACCATCCGAGACTATGTGAAACAGTTTTCTGCACTAATGCTGGACATACAGGACATGTCCGAGAAGGATAAGTTGTTCAGCTTCCTCGATGGTTTGAAACCATGGGCTCAACAGGAGCTAAATCGAAGGAATGTTACCGATGTAGTCGGAGCAATTGCTGCTGTAGAAAGGCTCACCGACTTTGTTTCCTCTGAAGACCCAGCGAGAAGGAAACAATCTTCAGGCAATCGTCCTCCAAAACATTCTCGAGGGAAGGAGCTCGGGGGCGAACAAAAGAAGAAGATCTCCCACAAAGGGCCGAACCCTAAAGGCAAGGCCTCAAAACCTGGAGGATGCTTCTTGTGCGGAGGACCGCACATGGTAAGGGAGTGCCCACAGAAATAGGCACTCAATGCTTTGACGGCTTCCATCCACCCTCCCCGATCGGACAAGGGCAAAGCTGTTGCTCTTAGTTCGAGTAGTTCAGAATCCAGCAGCGACGACGAGGAGTCGCAAGGACCCCGAATGGGAGCAATGCGTTTGTTGAACGCTATGCGGGGTCAAGTGGGGGAGAACATGAAGACGAAGGTACAAAAAGTAGGAAGTAGTGAGCCGATGTATGTGAACATCAAGCTAAATGGCCAAACGACCCGTGCAATGGTGGATACGGGCGCTACCCATAACTTCATAGCCGATCGCGAAGCACAACGACTTGGGTTGACCTTGGAGAAGAGCCCAAGCCGAATGAAGGCGGTGAACTCGGAGGCCAGGCGAATCTCCGGGTTGGCGAAGGGTGTTCCTATCAAAATCGGGACTTGGAGCGGAAACACCAACATGATGGCCGTGCCACTGGACGACTTCCAAGTGATTCTCGGAATGGAGTTTATGCACGCAGCAAAGTTGGTGCCGATGCCGTTCTTGAACTCCCTGTGTATGATGGGAGGCAATGACCCCTGCGTGGTTCCCGTCTCTCGGAGGGGAACCAAGGAGCCCCAACACATTTCGGCATTACAATTGAAGAAAGGGGTGCGAAAAGGCAAACTGACATTCGTGGCTGCTATGAAGCTA